CTGTCTCCTGGCCTGCCACTCTCTCCTGCTTTTGATGGGCCTATCAAGAGCTGGCAGGAGGGAGGCAGGTGTGATGCCAACAGTGTATTTCAAACATAAGGGACTGTTTTCATAGCATCCCATCCCTCCTCACCCTATTACTATCAGTAGCAGTTTAATTATACTACCACTAATAAGCAGTACTCACCTGCATTCACCAGGGCTATGTCTACACTCGCGGCTTCTTGTGTCAGAAGTATGCAAATGAGTCTAAGCGTGGAATATCGCCGAGCCTCATTTGCATACGTAATGAACTGCCATTTTTGCAGAAGAGGCTCTTGCGCCAGAAGGAGCTGTCTGCACTGCCCCTTCTTGCGCAAGAAAAACCCTCTTGATTGCGCAAGAGGGCTTTTCTTGCGCAAGAAGGGGTAGTGTAGACAGCTCCTTCTGGCGCAAGAGCCTCTTCTGCAAAAATGGCAGTTCATTAGGTAGGCAAATGAGGCTCAGCGATATTCCACGCTTAGCCTCATTTGCATACTTCTGACTCAAGAAGCCACGAGTGTAGACATAGCCCAGGGGTATTTCTACAGACAGCGAGTTACAGACATCTGGTGAGGGGATGTTGGGGATAGGGTCTGGGGAACTGTCCCCTTCCTGGGGATGCTGGCTCCAGTCTGGCCCCAGGTCAGGGGCTAGCTGTCTGGGGAGAAGGGGGTGGTCTAGGAATGGCATATAGGGTCTTTCTCCTCTAGGCTCTTAAACTCATTACATTGTATTTCGTGGGTTGGTGGGTTCTCAGACCAGTTTGTAGGGCAAATGTGTCCACCTCCCAAAATTCACCACCGCTGGCACCAACTGGCCACTTCAGAGAGGAGGCCGAGGGCTGAACAGGCCTCAGAGACTGAGTTCCTCTCTTCCCCAGCTCTGGAGGTTACACAGAGGCCTCCTTTTCCTGATCACTAGAATCAGCGGGGCTGTGTAAGAAAACCTGTGTGGCTTTAAGGGCCCGGCAGGCATCTGACAGTAGCAGGCTGTCAGAACAGCTGTGCTCATTTGGTGGTGTTAATAGCCTAGTGCTCAGCTGTGCTAGGCTTTTGAGGTGTGACAATCCCCTTGACCTGCTGAGCTAGGGCAGGTATTAGTGCTGTTGCTACAGCTCGTCAGATATTGTCTTGATGCAGATGTCTGGGGCCTGAGATTTGAAATCTCTGCTAGGACCTGTGGGGAGCTTGAGCTTCAGATAGGACTTGTGGGCTCAGGTTCCAGCTCAGGAAGGAGCCTGGGATCTTCTCAGTTAGAGCAGGGGTGGGCTGAGGTAGGACTTTGAGGTTCTATTCCTGGCTTTGGGAGGGGAGTGGGTTTTAATGTTTGGGGGGAGGAGCCAGGACTCCTGGTTTCTATCTGCAGCTTTGGAAGGGAAATGAGGTTGCTTGGGTTAAATCAGGAGGGTTGGGGGGGCTAAGACTCCTGTGTTCTACTCCTGGCTCTGGATGGGGAGTGGGGTCTAGTGGTTAGAGAAGGGGGGGGTGTAACCTGGCTGTCAGAACTCCCGGGTTTCCTGCCTTGCTCTGGGAGGGGAGTCCAGAGGTGTTTGAGTCCAGTGAGCAGCTCTGTGTGGCAGGGTGAGTGGGAATAGGGTTCACTTCCCCCAGCCAGGCCAGGGCCTTCCACGCTGAGGGCCCTGAGCCATTTTGCCTTGTGCAGCATGGAGGTTTGCGGGGGGAGCTGGGTTTCCAGGGCAGGGTCCGAAGGGTTAAAATCACTCCCCCTCTCACACCCCATTTGGGAACAGGTCTAATCCCTTGGGGAGGAGAAGCTCTTGGGTTGTAAGGGGTTAAGCTATGATGCTGAAAGGTCAAGGGCCAGGCATGGGTCAGATTCTGGGCTGTAGAACCTCTCTCTGCTATGGGGCATGGCAGCCTCTGGGCAGGGGCACTGGCTGGCTGAGGGGGTGCAGAATGGGGCCAGAGCCTTTCCCCTTCCAAGGAGCCTTGGTGCTGGTCCAGCCTGGGGGCAAGGGCATTGCCTGGCTGGCTGAGAGGGAGAGAAGGGGCCTTTCCCTTCCCGGAGCTCTGGCTCAAGGAAAGGGTGGGGGTGGGTATGGAGCATGGGGTTGATCCCTCGGCCCGCCCAGCCCCCCCCCCCCCCCCCCCTCGTGATTCAGGTGTGTCTTGGTTTTGTTTGTTTTCTGCCTGTCGTGGTGAACAAGCACCAGGACGTTACAGGTTTAAAAACAAACTTCTCTCCCCTGTGACTCCTCTAGACAGGTCAGCCCACCCAGAGACAGAACCCAGGAGTCCCCCCCCGCCTCAGTGCAGTCCTACATGGTGAATAACATCTTGCTTTTCCACCCAGCCTGCCTTTGGGTTGTGTCTGAGAGGCCCCCAAGCCTGCCCTAGAGTGATCCAAGCCATGGCCTCCCTCGATCCCTTGGAGACCCTGCGCATGGACATCTCCTGCTCCGTCTGCCTGGAGTACCTGATGGACCCAGTCACAATTGGCTGTGGCCATAGCTTCTGCCGGGCCTGCATCAGCCACTGCTGGGCCCCTGGGACGCAGGATTTTCTCTGCCCCATGTGCCGGGAGCTGTGCGCCCAGGGCATCATGGTCCCCAGCCGGCAGTTGGCCAACGTGGTGGAGGTGGCCAAGCAGCTGCATTCGGCCAAGCGTGAGGCGCAAGACGAGCTGCTCTGCCCCTGGCACCACGAGGGGCTCCACTTCTTCTGCAAAGAGGACCAGGAGGCCGTGTGCCTGGTGTGCGCCGTCGCCCACGGCGAACACGCCCACAGCGTGGGGCCCCTGGAGGATGCCATTGAGGAGTACAAGGTACCGGACTGGAACGGTTAGACCCTGTCCCCTCTTAGAGCTTGGGGAGAATCCTGAATTCCTGGCCGACTCATCCCTCCTGCTCTAACCTCCTAGACCCCACTCCCCTCCCAGGGAGTCCAGGCCTCCCTGCTCTGAACCCCACCTCTCCCAAAGCCAGGTGTGGGACCCAGGAATCTTGGCCTCTCCACCTTTCCTGCTCCAACCCACTCTCCTCCTAGGGCTAGGCTAGAACTGCGGGGTCCTGTCCTTCCAGCCCCCTGGTCTAATCATTAGCACCCTCTCCCAGCACGTACCTAGTCACCAGACCCCACTCGCCTCCCAGAGCTCGGTATTAGCCCCTCGGTCCGTCTCCCCCTTGAACAGGCCCCGGAATCTGCCTGTGCCTCCGCTCCCCAGCTGTCAAATGGGACCCATCTTCCTGTGCCTCGCGCTGCGCCCTCCTAAGCGCAGGGACTCCTGTGCAGCGTGTTTGTGCAGCTTTGCGTGCAATAGGGCCTTGATCTCCATGGAGGTTGTACCGTAACACGGAGCATCTGGGTGAAGCACTGACTCATCATGGATTCATCTCCCCCTTCTGGGGGGGGACAGTTGCTGCACCCTACCTCCTGCCCGGAGCCCACACTCTTACCCCCAGACTGCTCCCTGGTAGCCCCCTCCTCCACTCTGAACCCCTCTCTTTTGGCCCCACTCCAGAGCCTAGGAGAGCTGCACAAAATTTACTGGCTCCAGGCCCCCAGAAGAGTTAATCCAGCCGTGTATTCCCTGGACCACAGTGGCCTCCTCTCCCTGCCCCCACCCTGGGCTGGAGCATGAAGGGTGTGTCTCTTTCCTCCTGCATCTCAGCTGGGGGCTACATCCATGAACTGGTTTTTTTACTCAGTTAGGGGGCCAGCTCAGTGAGGATTGTGTGTGTGTGTGTGTGGGGGGCGGTTATTTGTTTGCTTGTCATTTGTGTGTGGCCCTTTTTTGAGCCTGTGGGTCAGTGGTCCCTGACCCAAGAGACATTCCCTACCCCTGCTTTAGTCTAAGCTCCTGCAGCAGCCTGTCACAAGCCGGAGTACCACCCCTAGGGATTCCTGCAGCCGTTCCAGCGTTTTATCGTTCTCCCTTTCAAACATGGGCACCTTCCTTCTCACCTGACTGCATCTAGTGTCCGCTCCCAGCCCATGGCAGCCCTGTGCGTTCAGAGTGTAAATCCTGGCCGTGAGGCAGCTACTTGCAATTCTTTTGTCCTGTGGGAACAGGCATGGGTTCCCAAACTGGGGTGTGTGAAGAAATTCCAGGAGGGGAGGGAGTCTGGGTTGCCTCACACCCCATCAAGTTTTGCTGCCCCTCTCAGTTCTTTTTTTTTTTTTTTTTTTCCTCTCTTAACAAGTTTTGCGGGGTTTTTTCAAAAATCAAGAAGGGGGGGCGTGATGCCAAAAAGTTTAGGAACCACTGAGCTAGAGCTTCCAGCCAAGATGGGGCCCCGTTGCGCTAGGCCCTGCATGCACCCAGGGAGAAAGGAAGCCTCTGCCCCAGAAAGCTCCCTGTCCAAAGAGGCACAGTGGGGGAGTGGGAACAGACGCACGCTCTGAGGAGGTGACTTGCCCAAAAGCCACTGGGAAGAGAGACCCGGTGCCCTGCGCCTCATGCCAGAGTCGGCGCCACTGACTCTCCTGCCAACGTAGCAACTGCTTCTTGTCCCTGCACAGTCTAAGCTGCGGGGCTGGCAGTGGCGGCTGGACGTGAAGTTGAAGGAGGTGAAGAAGCGCTTCTCGGCCGAGGAGAACAGGCCCAAGGAACTGAGGGTACGTGGGGTCAGTCTCCAGGGGTGAGATGGGAGACCTTTCCCCTTGTGAGGGTGCTGGCTCTGCTCTGCCCTCAGGTGGGGAGGGGAGATGAACTGGCGTAGGGGGTGGGTGGGAAATGGGACACATGGGACCTTTCCCCTCCCTGGGGCAGACCCAGCTCAAGGAGCGTGCTCACGGCTCTCCCCTGCCGGTAGGCACTGGTGATGAGCTGCCGCCAGCGCATCCTCGGCGACTTTGAGGAGCTGCGCGCCCTCCTGGAGGAGGAGAAGGAGGCGCAGCTGCGGCGGCTAAAAGCAGAGGAGGCCGAGATGCTGGTGAAGCTGAAGAACAGCATGGCCCAGCTCTCGGAGCAGCGCCTCGCCCTCAGCAAACTCCTCACCGACATGGGGGAGAAGTGCCTGGCATCAGGCCCACAGGCACTGCAGGTCAGTGGAGTCTGGTTGTCAGAGCGGGGGGCTGGGAGCCAGGACTCCTGGTTTCTGGCTCTAGGAGGGGAGCGGAGGCTAATGGGTAGAGCAGGAGGTGTGGGTAATCAGGGCTCCTGTGTGACCCTCGTGTTTCAGGCCAGGAGCCCCCCTTGAGCTGCAAGGGGTTGAGGGCTGCTCTGCACTTGGGTTGACACAACTGTGGTGCTCGGAGGCTATGGAAGATCTTCCTCCTGCAGCTCCACAGCTATGCTGGCCTAGACCCCCCTCTGCCCCTGCCTCCCCAGTGTAGACCCGGCTAGATCATTGTAAGCGTTATTCTGTTTGGCCCAGTCCCCTTCACTCGGCGAGGGCGTTACACCCCGAAGGAAGAGCCTGTTCCATTGCTGTGTGTAGCAGCTGTGTGTGCTACAGCCCCATGGCCCTGGCACCCTAAGGGTGCTGCTGTGAGCCCTGTCGTGTAGCCAACCCCTGAGGACTCACTTCCCCCTGTGGTCAGTTATGGACTAACAAGACCATTACAGGGCATCTCGCCCCTTTCTCTGAAGCAACTGGGGCTGCCCAGCCCTGGGGGCCAGATCTACAGGACCGCTTGAGAGGTTCCTGAGTGGATGAGGACACTACTGGGTGACCTCAGTCAGAGGAAGCTTCCTTCCTGGACAGCTGGTCTAGTGGTTAACACCGGGAAATGGGACTGGAGGGAGCTGGGGGGCGAGTCTCGATTCTGTCACAGGCCCCATGTGTGATCTTGGCCTCTGTACCTCAGAGCTGCCTGTGTGCTAAATACAAGAATCCCTTAGGTACCTATTTAAACTGTGAGCTCTTCAAGGGGGGAGCTGCATCTCCCTGGGTGTAATTGCAGCACTTGCTTCACAACTCGATCTCAGTGGAGTTCTCTAGGCCCTGCTGTAATACACCTATGAAATAAGCCAGGGAGTGGGGAACTTTTTTGGGGTTGGGAGACCACTGACTCACAGTGGGGCTGCACACAAGTGAGAAACAAACAATTATTAAAAGAAACCACCGATTTACTGTCTGACCTTGATCAACTCACCTGGCATCTCTGCCGCCACTGTTGAATGGAGTTAATAGCAGTTCCTTTAGTCATTGTGGTGTTGTGAGGATACATCTATTGAAGACTGAGAGGTACTCTTATTACCGGGGTGGGGGGGGATGAAAGTACCTAAGAGTCATTGGGAAGATATGCAGCACACTCTGGGGAATTAAGAAATCTGATGGTTGCAGTGGAAAATGCCCTAACCTCTGGATTATACTTCTCTTCCCCCTCCCTGTGCCTCTGTAAGTGTATTGATTCCATGTATGTCAGAAAAAAAATCCAGCACTATTTTTGGAGGGAAGGGGGATGCTGTATGATACTCATTTACAGAATATTGTTATTCAGCCACTAGCTGTTGCTGTCTACCTAGGAACCCGTGTGGGTTGTGATTCACGATAGAGAAAACAAAACAAGCTGTGTGGCTGAAGGGATGTTGTGCAACTAAACCGTAGAACTTGCTTTAAATGTACCCCACCACTCCTTCTTTTTAGGACATGCAGAGCATCCTGCAGCGGTGAGTTCTACCCTTACCTGGCTGTGAAGTGGGGATTAAGGATGATGCAGTTCTAGAGAGATTCAACAGGGGGCGCTTTCCATTTGGAGTCAGTACTGACTCCAGTACCCAGCAGGGGGCCAGAGGACTGAAGTGTTCTCCTCCGGGAACTGTGGGACCAGCGAGTGCCCCATTGCTGGGAGCAGTATGGGAGAGGGGGTCTGTATGGATCCAGAGAGGAGAGCAGCCCAATGCCCAGCACAGCACTGGAGATGGAATCCTTCCATGATCTCTAAAATTGCAGGCTCTGACTCCTCATGGTTGCTAAAACCCCTGACTCCTCTTCTCCATCTCCCAGATTCAGGTCACTGACTTAGGGTGTCCTGGTCAAATCCCCACTCTGGCAAGTCTATGCTTCCTCCCCACAAATGCCCACTTGGGGGTTCAGTTATGAATGGGAGTCCCTTGTGCTGTGGATCTAAATCAGCTGCCAGGCTCCACCCCAGAAGCAGCTGCACGAATAGTTTTCTGCATTCACTATTCTCTGGGTGAACAGGCTGTGACTAGACATAGGCTGTAAGGGTCACTGCTGTAATAATAAGCCATTCATCTTCCTCAGGTACGAACAATCTAAGGCCATAGAGCTGCCTTCGGTTTCTCTTGAGCTGAAGAAGAACGTAGAGTATTTCCCCCGGCAGTTCTTCACCCTGACTAAGCTGCTGAGGAAATACAGCGGTAGATAAACTATATTCAGCCCCAGGCATTAGGGTTCGTGAGTTCTGCTCCCAACTCTAGGAGGGACAGGGGTCTTGTGGGTTAGAGCAGGGGGGCTGAAAGTCAGAACTCCTCCCACCCAACCCCTTGCTGGTGCACCCTCTGCAGGGATGCAAGGGCTGAAAGGGCAATGGGGCCAGTCTCTGCATGTGGAGGGCTAACGCACATTGGTGGGGGTGCTGTGTGGGTGAGGGGGAGCCTCTGGAGACGAGAGAGCTATTCTTTCTCCCCTTCCCCCCCACCCCGCCCGCGCCACTGATTTCCCTTGTGTTGCTCTTGTGACTCTATTTTAAATTTTATCTATCCCTCTGTTAAGGTTGCCCCCCCTCCTTTTTTGAGGCTAATATGGGGGCAGGGTGGTTGCGAGGCACCTCTTGCCCCCACCCTTTTGCATGGAGATAAATGAGCAGTGGGGGAACCCCAGGTACTTCCTCTTGTGAATGTGTAAGTCTCTTTTATGATCAGCCCTCTGTTTCCCTTCCTCCTATTCTCTCCTCTCCCCTTCTCTCTCTGTCTAGGGGAGGTGACCCTGGATCCCGAGACGGCTCACCCCAACCTGGTGCTTTCAGAGAACCTCAAGACCGTGCACTTTGTCAGCGTCTGCCAGCCGGTTCCCCACAGCCCCCGGCGCTTTACCGTCTACCCCTGCGTCCTGGGATCAGCCGCCTACCTCTCAGGCCGGCACTACTGGGAGGTCGAGGTGGGCAACAAGACCCAGTGGGCCCTGGGTGTCTGCTACGAGTCAGTCAGCCGCAAGGCCGAGGTCGACACCAAGCCGGAGTGCGGCTACTGGCGGGTGCGGCTGTGGAATGGGAAGTACGCGGCCACCACTACCCCCTTCACGCTGCTGCACCCACATGTCAAGCCCAAGCGGGTTGGGGTGTTCCTGGACTATGAAGCTGGGAAAGTCTCCTTCTATAACGTGACGGACCACTCCCACATGTACACCTTCAGCGTGGAGTTTGCTGAGCCCGTCCGTCCCCTCTTCTACCCGGGGATCTGCTTCGGGTATGTTAACGCTGCCCCCCTTGTCCTCTGCCAGCCCTTGGACTGGGAGTGACAGGCCCCAGCACCAGCATCCAGACCCCAGTTTAACAGAGGAGCCTGTTCATATCTCACTCCAACTTCTAGGTGATACCCATGTGCCCTAAAACCTTCTGGTTTCTGGCAGCCGGCGGTGATACTGGCCTTGCTTTGGAGTCCTCTCCTAGTGAGCAAATCAGAGCTGACCTCGCTACCCAAAGTTACACCCCTTTCCGATACTAAGCACCAAGAGTGTCTCATTTATACTTTAGCACATACCTTGATACATGGGCCATTCCCCTCTTCTCTCCCCCTCCGCCCCCAAGGTACGTCATTTCCTCCAGGCCTGTGCTTGAGCTCTGTGCAAGTTAACCAGCCATTGGGAAGGATCCATAAGTGTGTGTGTCTGGTTTTTTTTTGTTGTTGTTTTTTTGTTTAGGGGGGGAGGTCTTAGTTGATGGAGTTTGAGATGGGTTCTGAGCTCTTACCGCCTGTGTTTTGTCTGTTTGTCCTGTTAGCACGCATTGTCTGTCAAATTGAGATGGCTGTTGCTTGTGATGTCTAATGGTTTTTTTGCAATAAATTATTTTGGGTTTTTGGAAGGGAACATCTTTGTTTCTGTTCTTAGTTCCTTGCCACCTCTGTGCTGGGGATCAATAATTCTCGACCTCTTCCGTACTTGGAAACCACCAGCACACTGCCGTTTAGGGGGTTGTGGCTGTTTTTGGCCTGACACCTTTTCTTGGGTAAGACCCCTAGATTAGAAATCCTTGTTGTATGATGGTCCTGGAATGTTTATTTCATTGCTTCACTTGCCTTCTATTGGATAGGATCAGTTGCTCAACTGTGTCATGGGCACTATACTGCTAAGCACAAAAGTGATTTCCCTTTTACTGAAGCAAGTGAGGGCCTTTCTTCTCTGATGCAGGAGGAGCTGACAGGGTTGCCTGTTCTCTACCTCTTTCCAGATGCAGATCTCGGCACGCTGTACAGAGGGAGGAAATGGAGAAATGAGGGCAGAGTGAGTAAGGGCAGAACACAGGATAGAGGTACCAGATATCCTGACTCCTAATTCTGGGCTCTGATGGGCCACCACCTCTGAGCTGAAAATAGATTTGGGATTCCATCTCCCAGGCCCTTCCCTTCTAATCTAATCACTTCCAATAATGAACAAATCATGCCAGGACACTCTGATCGCTTTCTTTGCTAGGATATCCAGCCTTGTGGATAGGGGAGAAGCGATGGATGTGGTATTCCTAGAGTTTAGTAAAGCAATTAATACAGTCTCACATGACCATCTTAGCAATACACTAGGGAAATGCAGTCTAGATGGGGCTACTATAAGGTGGGTGCATAAGTGGCTGGATAACCGTTCTCAGAGAATAGCTATTAATGGCTCCCTTAGCTTCTGGAGAACAGGATCAAACAATCTGCATCCCGGCACCCCCCCAGCCCACGTACTCCCGAAGTTCCACCCTTGCCCCCTACCACGCCTGAAGTTCTGCCCTTAAGGAGCTAGCAGCTCCAGAGCTCCCTTTGGCCACGAGTGCTCCGTGGATGGGCAGGGGATGGAGGGACAGGAGCTGAGGAAGCAGCTTGGGTAAACAGCAGCCTTTGGGAGCGGAGAAGCTCCTGCAGTCTGCACATCCCTCAGCCCATGCTGAAGCGGACAAGCTGCGACTGTTCTCTGGAGTCGGATTATCAACAGGTCAGTCACTTTTTGCATGTGGCCTCACTCTAACCATTCCAAAACTAGTAAGAGTGGTGGGAAGGATTTAGTTGGGCTAGCAAAAATGGATCGTTTGGGGGTATCTATGAAATTTTAATAAATTGAAAAGGGATCCGTGTGCTCAAAGGTTGAGAACCATTAGGGGCTAGTGCAGGGGCCTGGGCACACAACTCCTGGCTCCATCCCTGTCTCAGTCACTGACTCCCAGGCCCCCCCGTGGCTTTGGCTGCTCCTGTCCAGCCACTGTTTCCATCAGTGGGGTCAGGGTCCCTCCCCTACAGCCCTTGTGCTGCCAGATTGCAGGAAAGTGTAAGGGGTACTAGGAGACAGGAGGTATCCTGTTGGCAGCAGGTCTGTGTTCTGGGCCCCCAGCTGTTTGCCTGAGTTCAGCCAGCCCTAGGCAATAGAACAGTCTTGTTTTCCCAACTTCTGCACCTGGCCCTGCTGGCAGGGCATTGGGCAGCATCTTTCCAGCCTACTGTGGTGCAGAAGACCAAGGGACAGACTGGCACTGAGCATCTACCATCCAGCTATAGCCACCTAGAGCCAGTGAGTGGCATGTGAGCATTGCCTCCGAGGTCTCCCTGCTTTGTTTGAAGAGGGGCAGAATTAGAGGGGGAAATCTCCTCCCAATAAGACTAGATTTCCTAACGCAGCCCTTCACTCAGCCTGGGCAGCTCCTTTCTTGCAGGCAATTCTCCAGAGCCATCTCCAGTGCAGTGGGAATGTCCTAGCACCAAGGCTGAAGGTAAAGGTGACAGGCTTTTGGATGAAAGCAGGAATAGAAACTAGAGAATGAGGAATTGAAATAAAAATCTAACATTCTGAAGAATTTGTGGATTTGTGCAAAAAGTCATACTACAGATACCAAATTCTGCATAATCCAGCCACTTAAATTAGTTGAATGCACTTTTGATACCACAATATACTGGATAAATGGTTTAAATTCTTTTTCATCAGAAAAAGATCCTATTATGATTGGAGTTCATAAAAATTTGTTAAAATGGAGTCACCTTTTCAACTCTTAGTGCAAAGAATTTTTACTGTTACAAATCACAATTATTCAAATAAGTTTCAGAAAGTAATGGAAGCTTTGAGTTTGATTCATATGGTAATTATTCAATAAAATGAAAAAAGTGTAGTTGAAATCCTTCAAACTGTTCTTTTACTTCCCTTTTGCAAGCACATACATTCTATTACATATATTTAATCTATGCAAAATGACTTTGCCCAGTCAATGACAGGCCTCTCTAGCTAGTTCAGAAGTAAGTGGAAACAAGCAGAACTGTCCTTCAGTAGTTTACAGAAACATGAAATGGATTGAGATGGAGCTCCAAGTGAGAGAGGCCCTGGAGAACAGAGGGCATGTGTCAAGCAAAAGCTAGTGTTATAGAACTGATGTTTTTCATTCTGAAAAATGAGGCGCTAGATTCAGCATGGATCAGAATTATGAAACAACTGTTCATAGGGAGGTTTCACGCAGAGAGCTTGCTGAATCCTGAATCAATGAGAGTAGAAGATACCGTGAAGAAAAGGTAAAGTCCAAAGTGCACAAAAATGGAATCTGTTGCAGAGATTTGCTGAGCAGCTTCAACAACAGGCTCTACCACCAGGATGTTAATAAATTAGACATTCTTGTTTGCTTTGAAGTTGACCTGAAAATTCACATTGTGGGGGAGGCATCTTGGAGATTTTAATCAAACAGAATGATCCTCGGTATCTTTTAGAGAAGCTGAAACCTCAGAGATAGATGACACTCTCAGCAGGGCTGAGTCCACTGAATATTGCCACCAGATCATTTTCCAATTCACTGTTCAGCAGAAGGTGCTGGAGGAAATCACCTGGGAGAGGTTTCTGACTTTTCATGTCACAGACAGCTGCCAATACAATTACGATGACTGCTAGGAACATAAGAATTGCCACATTTGAGCAGAGAGGACAATTTAATCTACTCTCCTCTGAGCACAGCCATGACCAGATACACCATACGAAAATGCAAGGAGCCCTAATGGACAATTTTGGAGTAACAAGTTATTTCAAACATGATTTCAGAGCCAGCAGTATCTAGTAGTCTGGCTTTCAGCACAACACCTGGCCAGAGAATTCCATCTGAGAATTCCTCCTTTGCAGGAAATTATTTATCCATATTTGGGAAGGAGCAGATTATTAAACCCTGTAACTTGTGGTTGAACTAGGATGACTGGATATTTTAGGACACCCAATTGTAAATTAAATCCTCCAAAAAATGATGAAGTTACAAATTCACTGCAGAAGCTGTTCCAAAGGTCAGTTATCCTGACAGTAAAAGACTCTTACATTTATTTTTAATTGAAAATGAAACTTCAATTTCCAGACATTAAATCTTGTTCTACATTTGTTCACTAGACTCAATGTTATTTTCTTTCTTAGCAGTTACAAAGAAAAGGCTGATCATGGTCTGTAAGTAAATGCACTGAGCTCCTTACATCTTGCAATGCAATGCAATGCAGGTTTTTCAAACTTTGACACCTCTCATTTTCCAAACCACTTTTTAAAAAAAAACTATGGATGCCAGAATTGGACGCAGTATCCCTGTAATGCCCTGACCACTAACATATACAGAATAGCACCCTAATCCTTCTTGATACTTTTATTTATGAATTGCTGGATCATGTTCAACTTTTCCCAGACCACAACTTCAGCCAAAAATGGGGGTTAATGGGTTACAGAGTGCTGTAATGAACCATTAATGCAGTGTCTTTATTAATGGAGTCCATAATTTTCAATGTCTAGGACAGTTCTTTGAGTTCCCAGGCTTATCTTTTGAAGAGGTCATGCTGGTTTTGTTTGGGAATGAGGACGGGAAAGGTCAAATATGGACCAATCATTTTCCAAAAAGCATTTAGGGACAGGAGTGATTTTGTGTTCACTTTTTTAAAATTGTATCCTTTGGTATATATGGTTGTGACAATTTTCTTCCACTATTTGATCTGAGGAAGTGGGTCTGGCCCACAAAAGCTCATCTAATAAACCATCTTGTTAGTCTTAAGTGTTACATAGTCCTGTTTTTTGTCTTTTGAGAGAGTGCTGTATGAGAGACCATCTCTATCCTGAAAAGCTTAAACTCTAAGGCTGTGTCTAGACTGGCAAGTTTTTCCGCAAAAGCAGCTGCTTTTGCGGAAAAACTTGCCAGTCTAGACACAGCCTTAGAGTTTAAGCTTTTCAGGATAGAGATGGTCTCTCATACAGCACTCTCTCAAAAGACAAAAAACAGGACTATGTAACACTTAAGACTAACAAGATGGTTTATTAGATGAGCTTTTGTGGGCCAGACCCACTTCCTCAGATCAAATAGTGGAAGAAAATTGTCACAAACGCTTTTCTGCAAAAAGAGCTTTTGCGGAAAAGCGTCCGTGCCAATCTAGACGCTCTTTTCCGCAAATGCTTTTAATGGAACACTTTTCCGTTAAAAGCATTTGAGGAAAATCATGCCAGTCTAGACGTAGCCTAAGGCTGTGTCTACACTGGTGCGATCTTGTGCAAAAGCGGCTGGGCTTTGGCAAAAACTTGCTGCCTGTCTACACTGGCCGCATGTTCTTGCGCAAGAAAACTGATGTTCTAATGTATGAAATCAGGGCTTCTTGTGCCAGAACTCTCATGCTCCTGCTCAGGAATAAGTCCTTTTGCGCAACTGTTCTTGCACAAGAGGCCAGTATAGACAGGCACCATGAATTTCTTGCGCAAGAAAGCCCTATGGTTAAAATGGCCATCAGAGCTTTCTTGTGCAAGAGAGCGTCTACACTGGCATGGATGCTCTTGTGCAAAAGCACATGCCAGTGTAGACACTCTTCTGGAAGAGTTTTTGCACAAGAACTTTTCTGCAAAAGAATTCTCGCGCAAGAAGCTGCCAGTGTAGATGTAGCCTAAATGCACTTTTGTGCAAGTAAAGCAGCCGTTAAATGGCAGAACAGGGTTTTTGGCCAGTGTAGGTAAACTTCCTTTTACGAGGCATAGTTACTTTTTACGCTACAGCTATTGCACAAAAAGGCAACTGTGGATGCTCCAAAGGGAAAAAAGGCACAGGTGCTCTGATGGCCATTCACAGAATGGCCATCAGAGCTTTCTTGTGCAAGAACATCCATGCAGTGTGGACGCTCTCTTGCGCAAAAGCGCATCGCTTTTGCAATGTGCTTTCAGGGGTGGATGTGCAGTGTAGATGTAGCCTAATAGAGAAGACAGAAAAAGGGAGAGGGGAAGGATTTTTATCTCCATTTTACAGGCAGGGAACAGATACCCAGAGAGACTAACTGGCTTATGTCACCAGCATTCAGTGAATTTCAAGAGTTGAAATCAGCTGCTAAGTCCCAGCCAGTGTTAACCATTAGAACATCCTGTCCTCACAGAAGCACTTTTGCCCAACTGGCTGTTTCATTAGGCAGCAGGTTTTGCTCCCTTGGGCTATCACTTGTTTCCTGTGGGAAATGCCAGCAGCAGGGCCCTGGTCTCTCCCTCCTGCCACTGAGCAGAAAGATACTGGAGCACCACAGGCTGGCCTCCCTCCCCACCCTCCACGCCTCACATGGAGCTGCTTGGAATTCACTCTTAATTTTAATTCACAAGCCATGTGAAGGAGGGAGATGCACAGTTATGGAAACAGTTCAGTTTGTCAAAGTTCATATCTGTCATGTGGGGACCCAGACACTGGCCTGGGGAAAATCTAGAGAGGATGTAAATGAGCCAGTTCTGTGTTCGGGCAGGAGTTCTGGCACATTCCTCTGAAGCAACTGCTGCTGGCTCCTGTCAGTGAGAGGAACACTGACCTGGATGGACAGGGGTTGGAGTCAAGCAGATGATACTGGAGCTCCTATTCCAAAGCTATTTACCCTTAGGCATGCCAGGGCTTCACTATCAACCTTAACTCTGCCCCGACAAGCTTTTTCACCAACCATAGATTTTCAGAAAGGCAAACAAGCAACATTATCTCCATTTTACAGATTGGGAAACCGAGGCTGCTGTGCCTTGCCTGAGCTTCCACAGCAAGAGGCAAGGCTGGGTAGAGAACACAGGTTTCCTGGATCCTAAAAACAAGATAGATTTTCTTTCAGAAGTCCAGTCACTGCTGCTGCAGTTGCATCTTCCCAGATGTGTGTCAACTACAGAAATGTAGCTTTTTCACAAACTTCTGTGAACCACTGCCCAGGTGACGAGCTAACATATAATTGACACCTATTGCTACACCAAATGTTGTGGAGCTCTACAGAGGGGATAGATACATTCAAGAAAGGTGTCTAGATCTTACTTTTCCCTCTACTGGTTAGGTAACACTGGAGCTAGGGCCGGACTGAGGCATGGGCATGCCGGCCATCTGCCCAGGGCGCCAACCTATGGGGGGCGCTTGATGGCAGCTGTAAGGGGCACGTGGCGTCCCTTACAGCTGCCATCAGGCACCGTGCGCCCGGCTCCCGCAGTGCCAGCCAGCAGCACCCTTCCCCCCACAGCCATGGGGCCCTGCACAGCCCGGCGTGAGCGCCAGCAGCACTAGCCAGGCCAGGCCAGACAGCACATGCGCTCTGGGGGCGGGGCCCCAGGCTGCCCACCAGCGGACATGGCCAGCCCGCGCATGCGCCATGTGCCCTGGGGGTGGGCCTGCGCACCCGGGGGGAGAGGTGGGCCTGCGCATGCACCGTGTGCCTAGGGGTGGCGCCGCGTGCCCGGGCCCAGAGCACCAAAAGGGCTCGGGTTGGCCCTGACTGGAGCACCCACCATACACACGGTACGGGCCTATCCTGCAAGAGGAGCATACTCAGTAATACCTTCAAAGCACTTTCCATGAGGCAAAGCCCCCAATCCTCAGCCCAGAGCAGGGATGTTAACGGTTAACCTCACATTTAATGGGTGAGGCTTTCTGGTTACAGTTAACCTGTGGGGCCGGAGAAGCTCCCCACCTGCTGCTTCAGCCCCATAGGGCCTGCAGGGGGCAGTGCTGCAGCCCTCATCTGTGATGGGGGAGGTGAAGCATTGGGGTGCTCCAGCCCAGCTGCAGTGTGTGTGGGGGGAGGGGGCACTCGAGCCCAGCCATCCTGGAGCAGCTCTCTGCTCGCCCTCATTTAATCAATTAATCAGTTTACTAATTAAATGGGGTTTCACATTCCTAGCCCAGAGAGAAGTCTGAGGCGACGGTTTCCAAAATGCACCCAGAAGAATGCATCAGGGAAAGGCTCACTCCTCCTTCCCCAGTCTCTATTGACCCATTCAACTCTGTCCAACTCCACCCGCAGACTGAGCTGGGACAAGCAGGGGGAAGTTTAAGCCCAAAGAATTGTTTCAGGAGAAAGGGGATCTGGCTACACATCAGCCTCGGGGCAGAACAGAAAGACAAGGAGAAGACAGGAGCCAGACCTTTCCTCTCGGACTCTACTTTATTTGGTAAAACTCAGAAACCAACCTCAGAGATTTCACTTTCCAGGCCCTTCCTCCCTGTGGGGAGAGAGGCCTTCTTTACCCTTTCAGCTTCATCCCCCCAGACTAAGAGGCACCGCCACACACCAGCATGGTATCTCCCCAGCACCAGCGAAGAACCTCCACCCATTCTCATTGCACAGGCAGAAGAGGGCGCAGGAAACTTCCACTTCAAAACACACCGAATCAAAGAAAATGAAACAAAAAGATACTAAAGACAACAATGAACAAGTGAGTCATGGAGGAAGTCCAGGCAGGGACACCCCTTCAAGCCAAGCGCTAGCAGTTACCCCATGGGAGCAGTTGGCCATGGCCAGTCCTGGGTTGGGATCCAAGGTCCACAGAATTGGTGAACCCAAGCAGGAAATGACATGACGCCCACCCAAAAAATCACATCCCCAAGTCCCTAGCGAGATGGCTTCAGTTCAGAGGTTCTCCTCTTTCACCCGGGAAAATAACCGCAGCCTCTGGTGTCATAGTGCAATTGGCGTGGGGGCCCCCTGGCTGCAGGTGGGAACAGACTCCATATTCTACAATGGAGGAAGATGCTAGATGAGTCCGAATCCTATTAATGGATCCGGGTCAGCTCCTCCACGATCTTTATCAGGTCATCCACGGTGGCCTCTCTCTTCATGCCACTGCCATCGTCGATCTGCAACAAGGGACAGATGTGTTACAGCAACATGGCCGGGGAGAGGAGGAACACAGAACTCCTAAAGAAACACCCCTGCATGAACCAGGGTGAAGGGGTGTCATTCAAAGGGTTAGTGCCACAGATCAGTTTCCCAAGATCCTCTGCTGCTCACCTGGAACTGACTGATTCTCACACTCAGACCCCATCTCACCTGTAGGTTTGCCACTACCTCCTGCATTTTGGGCCGGCTGATGTCCAAGAAACTTTCAATCAAATCACCGTCTATGAATCCTGTGGCTGGCTCCGTCTTGCGCTCAGTGTGAAACGATCTCCAGGTTCAAACGAGAGTCAAGGAACAAAAACCCATTTAAAACTGCACTACTCTTGGACTCCCTTAAACACCAAACAGAACTCCACCCCCAGGCACAAACAGCAGCTTCTTAGGACTCAAACTGCTCCGCTTCCCACGTATACAGACCACATCAATGACCAGTGCAGCCTTCCATGTACATCCAGTTTCAGAGACTGTGAGCACTCTGGAGCAAGGACTGAGCCAAGCCCCGTGGAGTCCCAGGCCCCAACTGCAATACAAGTAACAAACACACAGGGCCCGATTCATCCTGCTACTCTGCAGAGCAGCTCAAAGCAGTCTCCCTACCAGAGTCCCTAAGGTACAGGTGCCAAAGCTCTGTCTGCGCACAATCCATGTGACATGCCAGGGGCACCGTGTCCAAATGATCAGAGCTCACCCCAATGGATCACAGCAACACAAAGATCTGGTGAACTTCCAAACATTCCCCTGCTACCCAGTCCCTTGGAAGTCACTCTAGGCTTTGGCCCATGGATTCATGAGTCAGCAATCTAGAACTTGCTGCATCAACTTCCATCCCCTTCATGGCACAGCCTGACAGTCATGGTTTAGTTGACTGCCACTGTACAGGGACCTTCACTGCTAAGCTCCTAGATCTGCTCCACAAGGCAGCCTGGAGCAGGAGGGTGGGGAAGGATATAAGGAGTGCTCAATTTTGCCCACGCTTTTGATGACTTTATTGAGTCTGTTCTGCATATCCAGCAGGAGGTTGTACCAGCTTTCCGACAGTGAGGTCACCAGCCCTGCAAGACAGGAGAGAGCAGTGAGAAGCAGGGCTGGACACAGAGGTTTCCTGACAAGCCTTGGGCCATGCTGTTGCAGTGTGCAGCAGGCTGGGAATGCAGGCTGTTGCCTCACAGTTTGCTAGAGGCGCTCAGAATGTGATCCCCCATCCAGCACATTGAAATGGAAGTGAAACAAAAGTACTGTCTTGTATGTTTTCCATGGAAACCTTCATTTTTCAGTGAAAATTCAAAGCCCGTAAGATACAAATCCGGAAAAGCTGGTGCCTCTCAGAAGCAGTAGTTCAGGTACTGCATGCTCCCATGCTATGAAGGCTGGGCATCCTGATGTGACTATGTCTCCCATGATACTCCACAGCATCCCCCCTTGGAGAGAAAGGCAGTATCTCATAGGACATGCTGTCAGACTGGCCAGCCCAGCCAATCAAAGCGAGCGGGAACATGAGGAAACAAGAATTCACATGAGGAGCAGCAGCATTCCTAAATAAAAGTTTCTCTTTGCCACAAAATATCAAAATTTGCTGGTGAAAGCAGACACTGTGCAAAACATTTTACATTTCCACTCAGACAAAACCCAATTTTTCAACAACAAAAAACAACCTGCCCAGACCAACTAATGGCTCTGGATGGGCTCTACTATCAAATCCGCTTTAACAGCTTCCTTTCAAGGCCCATTTAAGTGGCCAACTCCAGGCCCTGAGCTCCCTACCCAACACACGCTCTCAGCAGGGCAAGAGGCAGCCGACAAGCTCTACCTTACCAATCATTCCGTTGACCGTGCCAAAGAGCACCGAGCCCTGTGTCGGCGTGGATGTCTCGCCCAGGTTCTGCATGACCAAAGAGCCGTGGCAGAACACGTTGACAAACTCCCCCAGGTGGAACAGCCCCACTTCCTGCAAATGCTGGCGCTCTTCGTCAGTCGTGGCCGCGCTGAAATGCAAGGACCCTGGTAGGCAACGGGGTGAGAACACAGACCAGAGGGCACCACAGAGACATGTCCCCCACTGAGCTAACACATGCACCTCCCCACAGCCACATTCTACACACAGAAGACAGGCAAGACTTGCCAGCTACACCCACCTGTAAAGGGAGGGGCTCAGAGGATGCACCCTTCCGTGCATCATCACAGGGCACTGCGTCATGCCCAGAGCCAGCTTACCTGTCCTTCTGGCACACAAACAGGTTAAAAGCATTCTCTGCTCCTAGGAAATTGTCATCATCCAAGATCTCCACAGCACTCATCCAGTTTGGGTTGAAGTCTCGAGCAATCTTAAAGGGGATGACACACAAAAGGGGGTGAATCAGACCCTGCTGCAAGCCCCCTAAGGCCGTGGTCACCAACCAGTAGATCGCGAGCTACCGGTAGTTCTCAGGGGCTCTAAGAGTAGCTCTTGAGCCCTCTCTGAACTGCGTGCCTGCGCAGTACATTTACATTAGATTTCCTCATTTGAGGAGCAGCTACTCACTGAGTAACAACACAGGTGAGAAGCTGCGAGGAATGGTGGGAGCTGGGAGGTCGGGAGGGCTGAAACACCCCAGCCAGCTGACTGTGGCTTTCAGCTGAAAGAAGCTGCCCCACGCTCCAGCTGATCGGCGGCTTTTCCTTTGCGCCTGCCCAGATGGAGCTTGGTGCACCCTGGCTGAGCGCCATGGCCAGCTGGCCGGGCAGCTACTTCTCTTCCCTCCAGCCCGGCTGCCCTGCACTCAGCCCAGGGAGGCTGCGTCTAGCTCCAGCTGTGCTGGAGCAAGCTTCCCAGGCTGAGCACAGGATCTCAGATGCCCATCTGATGGGCTGTATACGACTAGCAATCTCAGACTACAACCCAGACTTCAAGACACTGGCAGATACTGTTCAGTCACAGGTGTCACACTGAGACTTTGTTATTGGAAGAAAAAATATATAATTATCAATACTTGATTTTAGATTTACAAAATAGCAGAGAACAAAATGTATAAATGTAAATGCTTTGACATTTAAATAGCATGAATTAAAAACAGACCATTTATTTCATAACTATAAACATGTGATTTTAATTGTATATACTGCATAATTTAAAAATAAACTGTTTAACAGCGTGTATAAGGGCTGGGGATAGCAAGTGATGGACAGGAGAATAGAGAGGGCGGGGCTTCAAGGAAGGGGCGGGGCTGTAGATCTTCGCCTGTTCTGAGACTTAAAAAGTGATCTTGGGTGTAAAAAGGTTGGAGACCACTGCCCTAAGGTGATATCCTCATGAAGCCAGCCTGCCCCAACCAAGGTGATAATGGCACAGTGGGATCCCACCAGGCCCTCTGAACCCAGCGGCTTAAGTGCCAGCCCACGTCAAAGCTAGAGGAAGGAGGTTTGCACATTCATAAGGCCCTTTGAGGAGCAGCAGCACAGCACAGCTGATCGTCACCCCACCTCCCCAGGAGAGGGACTGTGTCAGTTTCCTGCAGAAGTAGCTCTTTCTGCAGGAGCCTAGGAAGGTGAGGCCTTTGGATGGAAAAGCAGGCTGATCTCTGGGAACACAACACCAGACAGACAGCTACCCTGCAGCACATCCTCAACCCCAAAGCATAACAAGGACCCTAGCAGGGCAACCTATGTTGCGAGGGGGGTTGATTTCTCATCAGGACATCTGTACTACCCACACTGGATCCCACCCACTTCCCCTCCCCATGGCAGGTGCTAGATATTGCACAAAGCATCCTCTCCCCAAGGCCTTGGGACACTGAACCAGATCCCCCCGCAGCCTGTCTCACAGGAGCCCAGAGAGATCCCGTTCTTAGGGACAGCCCAAAGGGAAGGCCAGCTCTGTGGCCTCTTGAGTGGCCAAGCTGTCCCTTCCTCACCCCACAAGCTGCTCTGCCTTTCCTGAAAGCCCCTTGCTGTACCACAGGATCAAGGGCCCCATCCCTTAGATCACCGAGGGCAGAAGTACATCAATACCTCCTCAAAGTTACCCTCCATGGGCTTGTAGGCAAGAAGCAGGACAGAGCGCATCAAATCTCCGACCAGGATGAAGTCCCCTTTGGTCTTCACATAGAGAGCCATGATGTTATTGTAATGGTTACATTCTGTGCGCAGCTCCTTCTCTGCTGTCCACTCATAGAGACGCACCTGCGGGAAGAGACACGTGAGCCACAGCCAGGACAGAAACACAGCAGCTCAGCCCCCCAGAACTCAGGAACACTTTCAACCTGGTGGCTAAGCCACTTCCCAGTGCCGGAAGATATTCAGGGCCTTGCGGGAGTCTTACCGTGCTGTTAATGCTGGCTAGGAGCTTGCCATTGAACTCCACCATGGAATACACAGCCCCTTTCACTTCCTTCTCAGCCAAACTCTGCAGTTTCCCTGGAAAGCATCAACAGACCCTCTGGTTACCCTCTCTGTGCCCCCCAACGCAGCTACAAGACCCTCTGAGAACCCAAATAAAGCCTACTCAAGCCTGATCTCTCCCTAGAAAAGGTGAGTCTATTTCTCAGCCAGTCTGAGGGCAACTGGTGGCCCAGTAACAGTAGGGGAGGGTGTGAGAGAGGCAAGACTGGAAGGA